CGCAAGATCATGGGCAAGATCTTAGGAACAAAAATATCTTGACATCCTGTACCAAAGATCTTGCCAAGATCTTTTCGAAAAAATCTAAGATGTCAAGATCTTGGTTCCAAGATGTTCGACTAGGGTAACTTTTCATAATGACAAAATTGTGATTGCGGTCGTTGTTTTTGTTATAGTTGTTGTAAATTATCAGAAGACACTTAAACAAACAGCAACATCGACAAAAGACTTTTTCTCTAAGGGTTCTCCTTTATCAATTTCGGTTCAATTTATTCTGCAAAGAATATGCCAAAAAAGTATACAGACTAATTGCAATCAATAATTACATTTATTCAATCATTTAGTTTCTATTTACTAATGGCTTGATACGATATGAATTAAATATAGAGGAACAGGGAGGAAAAGACGTGAGCATAGCAAGTATCACTATCCGGCAAAGAAAAGTGCATTAACGTTTTCTTTTCAACATGTACAATTTCCATGGTTATAGAGGCCGACAGAGATAAAATAATTGTTACGTTTATTATCCTCTTCGTATCAAGCGTAAGAATCAGTACACTTTATGTTGTATATGTATAATACGCATAGCAGTTGAAGGAGCACAGTACTTCCTATAAAGTCACGTTAAAAGCGTAGCAAAAGTACGGTGAAACCGTAGCATTATCACGCTGAATCCAATATAAAATATATTTTCACTAGACATGTGCAGTAACGGTAAAAACCTATTACCGTTACCGTTAACAACTTCAAATTTTTACCGCGATAATTTGAAATCGGTAAAAAATCTCAAAATTTTACCACGGTAAACTTCGGTAAAAAACTTTTTTACCGTTACCGCTCATGCCTGATTTTCACCTTGTAGAAATGGCAGTGAACGGAAGAAAATTTATATAAGGAATACCATTTGGTAATTTCACATAAAAACCGAGCTTCAGTGACGGTGACCTATTGGCTTTTGATGAAATATGTAGCAGATTAGATTAGAGACAAATACTTCAACCTTTTTTTCTTGTTCTCTATCCACCAGAACTATAGCGAGCGCTTCTGTCAATATAACAAGTTGAGTGAAATTTTACTTTCGAATAACGAAAGTTTCTCATTGTTCATGGTGTGAAATGATGAAATAAAGTCTAAACTAAGTGATGTGCTTCTCTTGTTTTTTGTGATTTCGAGTCGATACTATACACAATTAGTTATGTTCTTGGATGTAGGTTTTGTCTATGAGTTGGCATGTTTATTTTTTTAGATTTGATTTAACGCTAAAGAAGAGAGAAAAATGGTGGGCAGTTGGGAAGAGCAACGATTCCTTTATCCTAAACAATATTGGGAAATGTTTCCAATATGGGAACGTAAATTTGATATACAACCATTCAAATATGAACGAAATCGATTACCATTTAAAATGAATAATGAAGAACGTTTATGGCGCAAACAATGGCTGGAAGGTACGTTGAGAATTCTACAAACGTGAGTTGTCTGATTTCTATAAAGAAAAATATAAAAAGAAATTAGATAAACTCTTAATTGACTTCGCCATCTGATAACTTAAAATATTCATTTGTGCCTTCTGATTTTTTTGTTTAGATCAAGTATTACATCCAGACGAGCCTCAAAATATTCCTAATTTAGATAAACTACGTTTAAATCCTATACGTTACCGCTGGATGAGATTTTGGGATGGCGCATTCAATAAAATTCGACCGATAGTTGTAAGTTACTCTGATATACATGCTACCATATATTGTCTCGACTAGAAATTAACCATTAGAAAGGTTTATCAATCTGAAATGCAAATTTTTTTGCCCTTCTTTTTGGTTGTTTATTAATATTGCTTAAAGTCAGATATGGTTTGAGTTTTACACCATCTACTATTGAAAATTTACAATTAAACCGGCCGAAAGCACATACATGCCATGCATCAATTGCTTCATAAAACTGTTTATTCTTCCCATTACTTCTAGGGTGGATATACACCTGTTTTACGTTATTCAATACCAAAAATATTAGTGATCCATACTATGGGTATTTTATTCACTTATTATTGTTTATATAGAAAACAAGTAAGTGTTTGTTACATGTATTCGATGACAGTGTTCCTTTAAAGTATTTATCTTATGTACGTATCTCAAGTGTGATGAAATAGATGCTGTTATATTGAAAATCACCAGAAAAGGAGATACCAATAAAACGTTTCAACTTTCTTGTTTTGACTGTTTTTTTCTTTTGTATTACAATCATCATAGGCTATGTAAAGAAAACAGTTATAATAAATAAGTAATATTTTACCGTATCGTTGTTAAATCATCTTATCTATTATTATTATTTTTTATACCTGCGTTATCTAAAAATAGCATTTGAGGGCACAATTTGTATTGCTTTATTGTCAAAATCAATCTTTTGGTTTTAGAATTGGGAATATTCCGGTGGTGCAAGCTTTTATGGGTATAAAGGGGACTGGGTCGCCGTAAGTATTGACAGTTTGTATATTTATCTATTAGTTTTGCACCTCGTTCTTTGTAGGGTACAGAAGCAGAAAAACATTTAACATCACAAGATTATTATGATCGTGGATTTCAAGCTCGCAAAGCATGCCGTTATGCTGAACATAAATATTAGAATTTTCCTCTCTCTCGAATCCTTTGGACATATAGAACATCCTTATTTATTATTTTTATAACGAAACAATATCGAACTGCGTCCTAGATTTTTGTTTGCATAGATTCATAATGATTAGATTATTTGTTTGTTTTTTTTTGCAAATAAACAGAATAAACACAAATTTGTTTTATTCCCATTTACAATAAGGAAGAGAAATCTACAACGTTACCTGCAAATGTATCATTCAAATTGAATGATGACGATCTTTTCTTGTTAATCTTTGTATAAAATATTTTGTTTCTATTGTGTATTATCATCCTTTTATGGAGATCAAATAGAAACCTTTATAACGGCTAACTTCTTAAATAATTAGCTGCCATTTCTATAGTTAGAAGTATTGTCCAAAAATTTAACTCTTTGCGGTATTCGTGAAAGATAATGTAAAAGTCAAGTTGAAGTGACTGTCCTACTGAGAACTTATATTTTATTGACCCCCTAATGACTCGGTTAATGTTTTGATATTTAGCTGTTTTATATTAATCACCTGCTACACAAACTCTCCTATCCAAATTTCCTATTTTAATTAGATACGTGACTTTTTCTAGATAAGTAATGTTTGATCTTACAAATCTTTCACGACGACAAGTACGTTTGTGCGTTAATTCTGTAAGTAAGCATGTTTTTCATAATAAATACTAACAGAACGAATTAGCATAAACTAAAGTCTTTTCTTTGTCGCCGATTATAAAATTTAAAATCCAATATGAGTAAATATTCGTACTTGTCCATCTCCATGAAGTTTGATCTAATTGTAATCTGTCTAATTTAGTGGACTGTAGGACAATATTTTTCTCTTACTTTTGTTCTTTGTTTCAGTTTTACTTTTTACTTGTCGTTGTTACATGGATTCTCGTTATATTAGCTGGAATAGTGCAAGCCCAACGTTCTTACAAGAGTCATTAATGTCATTTCTGCTAGACGATAATTTATTAACATATTATATTCTTTTAATACCTTCAACAATTATTATCGCATTGACATTATATGGTTTGGGTTGGTTAGGTTTTCAATTATTTATACATAATTAACTGAAAAAGACAGCAATGAATCTTGTTCAGATGTAAATAATCCCTATTAGTCATAATGCACTAAAGGGTATTTTACCATATCCTTATAAATTAGAAAATGCAGTAAAACTTCAACAAATTACAAAAGTATTTTGTGGACTATTTTTGTCCTTTTATTTTGGCTATTGCCGATTTTTACTCCTTCTATAAGTTATTTAGTCAACTAGATTGACAACATTTTCTTTTATACCGTCCATTCAGAAATGTGTGTATGTGTGCGTGTGTAACTAACGTTTTTTTTATAGCTAAATAAGTCGACTTATAGTTTTAAGTTCGTTTTTATTTATAATGAAAATCTTTAGTTATGAAATTCATTTTTGTTTTGCATTGTACATGCTGTTTTTCAACGGAGCTAGAATATTTTAAACAATGGTATAACATTTTCTAGAAAAATTTTAAATTATCCATCTGTTTAGTTTGAGTGTTAAATATCTACTTGAATACTTTTAGATCGTATGTGCCTCTTAAATATTGAAACAGTTAACGGTTTACTCTTGTTTACCAACTGAGATAGAACGAGCACAAGCATTCCATCGTTCTTATCTATTTTCGTGATCTGATAATCTGTGATTGATTATTATATTTTGTCTATTGTGAAGAAAATGCCAGTAGAAAATTCTTTTGAAGTTTTAGTAATGCCTAGAAAGTTGCAGTTTGTCTAACTTCTTTAAATTTCCAGATGAAAACCACGATACTATATATTAATTTTTGAGAAAGATTAATTTATTTGTTTCTACAGCTACTTTATTAAGTGGATTTCAAAATTTCAATAAAAAAAAACTAGATTTCATTAGATAATATTCAAATGGTACAAATGCATCATTTACTTTATATCTTCTAGCTTGTGTGTGTGGGCTAAATACAATTTAATTTTGTTTTATACAAATCTTTTTATCTTTTTTGTAATTCGCTTTGAAAATAAACTGTTTATGACACAATTTGTTTGACGTTTCATTTTCTGTATGTTTTCTTGTTTATTGTTGTGTATTAAAATATTTAAACATTGGCAAATGTGCTATTGGTTTCGCGTGTTAAATGAACAATCCTGGACAAATCCAATAATCGCTAACACTTACGTATTAAGTTCGACTAATAGCTCAATGAAGATTTCTATTTTCTTTCCAGATTATATGAGCTTCTAAATTGTGTATGAATATTTTATTTTTGTATTTTGTGTTCATATCTGTTGTTCATCCATAATGACTGATTCTGAAGCAAAATTAAAACAAAAAGAGGATCGTCGTTTAAAACGTGCCAAATTACGTTCATTAGAAACATTAGCTTATTCATCGGCATTATCTTATTTAAGAGCAAAAAATGATTATAATAAAGAATCAGAACTTATTCTAGCTCAATTACGTTGTTTACTTCATATATCAGATGATAGACACATGGCAGAATTAAAAAGAATTATAAACAATGATGAATTACAACAAATTATATCGACGGTAAACTTTGGACAAATTGGATTAAGCGATAACTGGAAAAAAATTATTGTTCGAAAACAAAGTCAAGAAACAAGTCCAAAGATAACAACAACTTCAATGAAGAAAAAGCGGACAAAAAATAAAAACAGTGAAAAACGAAAATAATATGTTTTTTTTGTCTGTTTCTGATGCAGCATCTTTTTTTGTATATAATGTCATGGTTGCACAATATTAATTTTTAAGATTAGGATGCGACGTACTTATATCTAAATGGAAAAATCGTTAGAATCTTTCTCAACTTACTGTTTTGCGGAGTGCTGCGAAACTACATTAGGAAATTGTCGACTAAGACGTGCTATTGGAAAAGCCTCTGAGCATTTTGTAAAGATGTATGAACGTTGATACAAAATAGTAGGTAATTTTTCAAAAGATTTAGGCTTCCTGTTACAAAACTCATCAGCAATCATAAAGTCAATTTTCACCAGACTTTTAGGGTATATGGACTACGTTAAAAGTTTTTTAAGGCTCCATTTATCATGGATCACGAGTTGTCTCCTGGAAATAAGGGTCAAAATAAGGCATCTAGAGATTGACAGATTTCTCATCAATGAAAAAAGCTGACGAGCTCGGATTGACTTTATTTTTCGCAATAAGCTGTGAGAACAATGCACAACAAAGCTTTTGCTTTATTTTTACTTGGGAAGCAATTTTTTTATCTTAGAGATCAGACAACATTTTCAATTATAAAGAAAAGCAAGAGCCTCAATAAAGAACTAGACTTTACTATGTCATTCCTTTAAAGATGAAGTTCAACTTGCTGTTATTGCAGTAGGTTGATTGTTGATTCTGTGTTTTTAGACTGATACAATTAAATTTCTCTGTGGAAGGTGTTTTAGTTCGTCAAGAAAAAAGAGACAAAATGGTATGAATTTTTATTTTATTATTTTCTCATTAATTCAGTCTAATATATTCCCTTCTTTATTTTAAGTTGGTACTTGTACTTGGTGATCTTCATATTCCGTATCGTTGTAGTGGTTTACCATCTGCCTTTTTAAAATTATTAACACCTGGACGAATACAACACATATTATGTACGGGAAATTTGTGTACAAAAGAAACAGTGGATTATTTAAAAACATTAACAGCTGACGTACACATTGTAAAGGGTGATTTTGATGAGGTAGATAATTATGAAATAGTGATAAATCACACTTTGTTTAATTATAATTTGTCTATTTTTAGAATTCAAATTTTATTGATCAAAAAGTTGTCACTGTTGGTCAATTTCGTATTGGATTATGTCATGGACATCAAATTATACCGGTAAGTATGAACATGATAATCTAGTGTACAACACATATTAAACTTTGTCTAATTTACTATTAGTGGGGTGATATTGAAAGTTTAAGTATGTTACAACGACAATTGGATGTAGATATTTTGATCACAGGTCATACACATAAATTTGAAGCATTTGAACGTGATGGAAAATTTTATATTAATCCCGGTTCAGCTACAGGATCATTTAATGCATTAAATAGGTAATAACTTTTTAATTTACAATTAAGTATATAGTATTTTTTTCTCTTTTTATTTAGTACAACAACTCCTTCATTTGTACTGATGGATATTCAACAAGCATCATTATCTCTCTATGTTTATCGGGTAATTGATGAAAAATGTACAGTTGAACGTCTAGAATGGCGTAAAAGTTGATCTAAATTGATAGAGCTAGTTAATTGTTGTTTTTATATTGTGCGTTTTTCGTATAACTTGTAATGTGTGAAAATGATTGTTATTAGTTCTCGTTTTTCTAAATTATATCTTAACATATTTTTACTTTTTCCGTTTCTGATATGTAAAAGCAATTACTTATTTCCATTTTTGATAAGTTAAATGCATTTAATTATTAGTTAATGTATCTTATTTATTGTCGTGCTTCTCTGAGCAGTAGTACATATAGTTAATTATCGTATTAAACTAAAAACTATCTTGATTTTATTCAATAATGAAAGATCTTTTTTTCTATTCAGAAGTAATTATTTTAAAGTGAAGTTATTATTGATTTTGTTTTCTCATTGACGTTTTCTTTTTACTTTTACAACAACATTTTTTTTTTTATTGATATTACTAGAAAAAACAAAAGCATAATAAAACGACTATTTTCGAAAGACGTTTTTTTTGTATTTTTCTGTTAATTTGGAAACGAAAGATATTTTTGTTCAGAAAAAAGTTCTATTTTAGATTCTTCTAGCTTTTTTCAGTCTAAATTTACGAAATGTTTAGAGATAAAAAATCAAGTTCAGATTTATTGAATTTATCTCAATTACAGTTACATCATAAAACATTAGATGATTTTCGTGAACGTTTATCTACTTATGAGGTAAGAATTAAATGACGTTTATACTATTTTTTATCATTTAAAATTAACTTTATTTCTAAAAGGATTATTGGTGGTTTGCAAAACCTGATCAGATTTCGGCAATTCAATGTTCGAGAAAAGGATGGCAATGTATTAGTAACGATCTTATTGAATGTGTTAATTGTCATGCAAGATTATTTGCTATATTACCAAGTATCCTAAATACAAATGAATGTATGTTTATTCTAAACTCTTATTTATAACGCACTCTGTATTGCTCTTGTTTATTAAGTTTAGATACAGATGCAGTACAAACAACATCGAAACAATTGGTAGATGCACATGAAAAATATTGTGTCTGGAAAGTTCTTACAATACCTGGTACATAGAAAAATTTATCTATTCTATTCTAAATTATCAAATTTTCTTTTTCCTTTTTAAAGAATCTATTCTTCAAATTCAAGATATTTATTCGAATGAGACAATAAATCAATTAATATCAAAAGCTAAAGATTTATCTGACAAAATATTACATATTGAAATTGTGGGTGAAATTAAAAATGTAAGTATTTAAACAATACGAACTATTTCACACATGATACATACAATGAACTATTTTAGAAATTTACGTTAGAGACAAAAGATATTGATGAAAGATATTTATTTATTCAATATTTAAATGATCCAAAAATTTGTGCTGCTTTTAAAATTGTCACATTTGGATGGATACTGTCAAAGTATGTATTATTATGTCACTTTCCATGTTCAATTTACTTTCATCTGATTTTTTGTTTTCTATTTGTTTCTAGAGATGGTATTTTAATATGTGAAAAATGTTGTCGTGAAATAACAAATGTTAAGAAAAAATTGGTATTTGATCCCGTTTATTCACATCGTAGTTGGTGTCCGATATTGAAAAAGAATTCATCTTATCAATATGAATGGCTAAAACTTATTGAACAAATACAAATTGTATTAAAAGATAATAATAATAGAGCTTATCAAAGTCAAATTAAACCAGTAAAATCCAATAAAGAAGTAAGGATAATAAAGTGTTTAAAAGTAGAAACTATTTTAAACTTGATCGATAATTTTTCCTAATACTTTTTATGCTATTATTAAGATCAAAATAGGACAACGATAAAGTAAAGTATTCCAGCCTTCGTAAACGTCGTAAGATTATCTATTTTTTGATGGTAAAAAGTAATCAATCCCTTTTGATAACAGATGAACTAAAGAAAATTGCCGACTTTTACAACAATTTGTTTCCGAGTTATCCATGATCAGAAAATTTTATTTTAATGTTGAAAAATAGAGAATTTTCACGCAGATTTTATTCATGTGTTTTTCTTAAACTAAATATTTACCGTTTTTTTCATACTATTAAAACTGCTAGAAATGACGAAAAGCTTATTTGCTCCATTGAAAAATAGAGCCGTAGCAAATAAACAATGTTAGACTTCATGCGAGAGAAACGTAACTTTCTAGTACAATCACTTGTTTAGATATGTTTCTATAATAACTCAGGTTACAAGAGGCTCGCTTGAGCAAATTTTTTCCTGTGCTTTGCCTAGTACTTTGCCCACTTCCACAAAAAAAAAACCGGCTCGATACGTCCTTTCGTTGCAAAGTTATGGGACTCGAAAGTTGAAAAAACTTAATTTCCTGATGGCTCATCATCTGAAAACTGAATTTTTGGTTATATAAAAAGATAATGAAAGAAAAGGAAAGCAGCGCATCCTGTAGAGAATTGAATTGTGAATCTAACCGTATGATTAGTGTTCAACTTTGTTTACTTTTTTTTTGTTGTTCTTTAGATATAATCATTTTACAAGCATCTTTTCCGTTTTTTGTAGACCGACCTTCTCTTACAGTTTTTCCCAGAAGTCCACCACTGAAGAAATTTTTGGAGTGGCTAAATTGTAGATCAGACGTCGGTCTACAACTCTATTTAAAAAAAATCCAGTTTGCATGATTTGGTAGAGATAAAAACAGCTTTCATTCTTGCGGAAGTCAATT